CAACTTGTCAGTAATACGTTTAATTTTACTTTTCGCAACTTTGTACTTCAACTTCGATTTATCCAACCGCCGTGAAATGGCCTCTGCGTCCTCCCTGGCCTTCCTTTCCCCTTCCTCAGCTTTCTGCTTCTTCAGCTCCAGCCTATGTATCTTGTTGTTACATACTCTAATATCGTCTTCCAGATCGCGTATGCTGTCCTCGCGTTTCAACACATTTTCTTGCTCAATAGCAAGTGTATGGTCCAAATTGGCCATCCGGATATGCGAATGTGACAACCGAGACACTTTCTCTTCCAACTCGCTATTCTCGCGAAGGAGGTTGTCTATAGAGTCTTGAAGCTGAGAGGTATCTAGTATAGAATGCGGGCTCTCACAACGCATGCGAGGGGATAGTATAGAATGCGGGCTCTCACAACGCATGCGAGGGATAGTATAGAATGCCGGCTCTCACAACGCATGCGAGGGGATAGTATAGAATGCGGGCTCTCACAACGCATAGAATTTATGCCACCTTCCTGCGCAAATGGATCCCTAAAGAATCCTTGCTGGAATTGTGAGTTATCATCAAAATTGGGTGAGAAAGCAGAACTGCCCAAGGGTGTCGATTGTGCAACCGGCGGTGAAGTGAATATTGACTCCCTCAGGTTTGCAGTGAGTCTAGCCTTGGTCAAGCGCTGTGGTGGAAATACACGTCCTGGTGATAAACCTGGCCTTAGCTGGAACTGGCCTTGTTTAGTCGGAGTTTGTGGAGTGTCAATAACTCCTGGGCTACTTGTGATTGGGCGGGCAAAGATGCGAGCAGGGGAAACAGATGACAGCCGATATTTCCTGACCGAGTCGGACCGTGCGGAACCTATTGAAGTATCCGCTTGAGATTGCCCTTGAGGGCGCTGTTCAGTTATTTCACGGCCTCTTCCTCGCTGATCCTCATCATTCTCTTCAACACTCTCTTCACCAGATTTCTTATCTACAGGTTCATCTGGGCATATTTCATCCTCATAACCTGTCATATGACGCAGATGCTCCAACATGGTCTTGCCGGTTAGAGCTTTAACGAGCTCATCTGCCTTTTCCCTCGCAATGAAGGTGTCTTTGAATTCTTGTCTCTGTGAATACATACGAATTTTATGCTCCGCCTTGTCTGACAAAATTCGAATCTTTGCCGTTTCCTGGAGTTTTTGTATGAAATTTGGGAGATCAATGCATTCTATCTACATTGCATGCCCTGTAGTTAGCTTATGTGCGATATATTTTAATTGCTTGATTCTGAATTAAAGTAATGAAAACAGAGGCCTCACCTGGTTTGTGTAAGTAAAGTCGAACTGTTTCCAGACTCTGTCAAGACGGGTTTCAGCTGCGAGTAGCTTGAAGAGATCTTGTACTTCATCAAGATTCATGTAGAGGTTGCCATAGTGAGGGTCCTCTGCATATATCCGCGCTCTCTCCCAGCGAGTTTTGTCTAAGAATGGATCTTCTGATTCCCATGCAATCCTCTGATACATATCTACAAAGTCAAGGAAATACCTGGTTTGAATCTATATTTTCAAATCAGAATTTGGTCAGTCTCATTTCTAGTACTATAAATATCTCACATAACCCTCCTAAATGCTAAATATACCTTCCCTTTCCGATCAACATCGAAATGGTTCCATGCTCTCATGAATCTTGTTTCAGAAGTTGATTTGTTTGCCTCCGAGATTTCATCACTGTTGAAAACCGATGACGAGGACACAGTTTTAGTGGTTCCGGCAGGTGAGCGACGATCATCACTTTTATTTCGACGTCCAGTCTCTTCCAGGCCATCATTGGGGCTCTGTTTAATCTCTTTTTTTCTACCGTACTTTGCCTCGAGCATACCAATGAAATCCTCACGAATGTCAAACATATTCTCATCGATAGGGGAGCCTCGGTCCTTGAGCATAGAATCAGTGGTGGGAGATATCAATCCTTCTGAAAGCAGCTGACTCTGGCTATCTATACTCTCAGCCCCCAGAATATATTCCTCACTATAATCTCGCCTATCCCCAGGTCCTTTGTCGCCCTCATCGTTATCTTCCCTATAAACAAATCTTTCATTTCCCTGGACTCTTTCGTTATCACTATTTCCTTCATCTTCTTTGTGTTTATCCTCACTAGCTTCACTCGCAGTAGTGTGAATAGTGGATTCAAACTTTTCAGTATACGGACTTGTCCCTTCATCAAGATGATCCTCCATTGCTTCTCTCCAAAGGCAGTAACTTGCGCTCGCACTATCGACCTTCTGCACTCTACAGGGAGGCAGAGTCGTCCTCTAATTCGAAACCTGGAAAATGTCTTGTAAAATCTGACTATGGTATCCTGAATCTTCTAAGAAATAACTCGAGCTGGCCTCTTCCGACTGACAGCCTGTGAACCTCGCTTCAATCTTCTTACCTGCTCGTGACTGGATGCAGGTTGAGCTTCGAGTCTGATACGTTAAGGACTTGACGAATGGTCGTCCAACTTGAGATATTGGTGATTTTATGGGCGACAGCACCCTCCTATGTTTCTGGACTGCTGTATTAGTATATGAGATGGAGAGCGGGGCGCCCTCAAGACCGTGGCCTAATCCTAGGGCTAGTGCTGTAGATGACGCCGCACGCTGGGCCGGCAGTGATATTGGGGGGCTTGGTATCTGAGGAGGGGATAGCAATATCGAACTTGGCAGATATATACAATGTGGCCGGCGTGCTCGGGCAGTAGTGATTGCTAGTTCTTACAGGAGTGCTCCGAGGTGCTGTCGAGATGGCCCTTTCTGCCCGTTCTGGCTCGTTGAGCTTCTTGCATGCAATGCCAGCAAAATACTGGCACACAGGTACCTGGGCTTCTCTTTGTACTGACGTGGTTGGGGACCGATGGGCGTTCGTCCTGGAGGCGGCGGGCGAATTCGAGCGTGAATGTGAATTGGATGGAGTAAATGGCGTCGGAGCGACTGAAGAGGAGCGACTGAAGAGGAGCGCAATGGCGGGGTGGCCTGAATACAAAGACATACTTGAGCGACGATTATAAAGTCAATTATAGATGAGCACTCGCGCGTAGCAAACAATGGATACACAGTGCTGCCTCGTCAAATGGCGAGTTAGGCAGACTCGAGTTGGTCGGACTAAGTGTGTCTGATCGAGGCCAATTGCTTCCTTCTAGCTGCCTCCAGACAAACAGCGCATGTGCACCGAATGCCAGCAGCAAGCACACAAGGAGCATATGCCATGGGAGCAGTACCGCCAATACGAAGTCACCGGAATGCGACGTTTGGTTTTCTTTGTTCCGGGACGTTTAGGTGGGCATTAAGGACTGACGATAGAGTCAGATGGGATTGGTCTCTTCTGTGTGACTGCGGTTTCTTTGTCCCATAGCCATCTCGGTGGAGTGCAAGCTGGGTGGGGGTGCGGTGAACGCAAATGAAGCATATAAACGACCATCGAGCTGTCAAGTGTGGGGAACATATGGAGCTGGAGCGGGCTGGAGCAAGCTAGCAACTGGTGGTACTCAATGGCTGAAGCTGCGTCGCGTGAGCGTAGCAGGAGGAAGGCGTGGGGCGAGCACAGAGGAAGGAGAGGTAGGTATGATAGTCATTGCCCGTATGCAGCCCTGCTGCATTATGACGTTGACGTGCATGAAGTGGTCACGGGACAGCCATGCTTCATTATGCATACCTCTTGGCCTTTAAAGCAGAACAAGGTACATACCTCGAGATGAATGCCTGCAAACAAGTGTCGGATCAATAGAGGAAATTGTTCAAAGAGAACGAGAAACTGCTAAAGCTATCGAGTTGCGAAGGAACCAGATGGGGGATCGAAGTGGTCTGGTTAGAGTCGAAGAGCACGCAGAGAAGGAGAGAGATCGAGTCTGGTTGTTCCGCCGTAAGCGAGATCCTGTAGCTTAGTGCAGCCGAGGTACCGGTAGCGAGTTTATCTCGGTCGTTCCTGTCGATCATTGCAAGCGAAGACAGAGGATGTACTCGAGTAATTAATTGAAATACTCAGCCTGCTTCAAAATCCAACCCATCGTAACTCTACCATACCAATTTTACTACCTCCGAGGGGTGATGCCAATCAGACTCCCATCATTCGTCCCACGTGGAAAATAGCAGCTAACGGAGTAAGGCATTTCGCGAGGGCGGGTATAGGGAAGTGGGCGGTGGTCATTGGGGCTGAAGCAGAATGAATCAAGTACCTCGGACCCTATGGCAGTCTCGCTACTGGCACCATGTGCGTGTATAGTACTTGAAACGTCATGCATGTGCAGTGTGGTGTATCTGTGTGGAGAACTTTGAAGCCTTCGGGAATCTCTTGATACCTTTTGCATGGTTCAGAGTGGAGCACGGCACGGCCATTCTGCGTGGCTTCGACTTTCCAAGGATGTACACATTACAAATTTAGCTACTCCAACAATCCATCGTTCTTCTGCGTCGATTGAGCCTAACGAACACAACGGTTCCTTGTCATAGTCCGGCAGGCCTGCTTGAAGAGCGATGAAAAATACAATACAAGGATTACCCTGACATGTGTTATCAGCAGAACGTATGCACACCGGCCAACTACGGCATAGAGGGGCGGCTTGAGGATATAACACTGCTAGAAACTACGGTTACGTGAATAGATCAGAAATTATGACGAGCAAAGGAACATCGTTAAATTGAAGTCTATGTGGTTTCGAGTAGGTGGAGGTATCTCTAGACACCCTTGACAAGAACAGTGTCCCAAGCCATTAAGCATGTCTTGCACTGTCCAGGTACATTAAGTACAAACATGGGTTTACACTGAATTGATCTATATTTCATGAGAATATATGTCGAGTCCTGCCCGCCAGCCCTCCAGTGGTCTCGTAAGTAATAAATCATAACTCGTTAGCTCCTCATGTTTCCCTCCTAGCCTTTCTCCCGTGGGCTCCCGACATAGCAAGAGGTAGGTAGGTACGCTGGATCTTGCTTAGCGAGGGAGAATGGCAGTAATCCCACAAGGGGATCTACAGGCAAAAAGAAATCCTTCCGACCGGAGTCGAACCGGTGACCAATCGGTTCCCTGAAATGACACCCATTACAGCCGAGTGTGATACCAACTACACCACAGAAGGTAACTTGTTCACTCAGTAGCTTGCATTTCTTTATCACTGTGTTTCTCTTTCGATCAAAATGCCTTATGTGAGAGTAGTTGTGAATTTTATAATCAGGGCTATCTCCTCATGTAGGGTATAGTAGACAATCATTGCATGCCCTTAGGAGGCATTAGGTTTGGACACTTTATAGGGCTTCGGACTTTTGTGACCATATGAGAACCGAAGAATCTATCACGCAAAAAAGCCTAATCTGCTCCCAGTCATTGCATATAAGCAACAATATGTCCGCAAAGCATTCAGTTGAAGCTTTGCCTGAAATTTTGCAACATCTGATCACATGACATTTATTAGTAACCCTACTGTACTAGCGCGAACTGTGAACATTATGATATAGGGTGCTGTTTTATATCGGGATACGATCGTCGACCGGGATACGATGTTTTCTTGGCACGCCTGCTGGAGTACTACATTTGGCTATATCTCGTGCAACAGACTTGCTAGCAGCTTACAGTAAACAGTTATATGTACAGCATAGCTGATACTACAATTCTAGCATATTGTATCAATTCTGTCAACAATGGTTCACTTGCTATATCAATATATGCATTAATAATATTAAATTACCACCCCCCCCCTCAACCTTCTGCATATTATCTATCAATAGGTCTATATCTATCTTTCCTATAGTAAGAGTTAGTCATTAATGGCTATAGTATATGATAGCATATGCAATATAGGCTAGAATAACTTACAGCTCTATTCGCGAGGCCTGAAACTAGCTGCTGCAGCTGCTGCATTTGCTGAATTATTTCCTCAAGTGTCGAAGGAGGGGGTAGTGGTGGCTGAGAGTTAGTAGCTCCAGATAATGCTGTTGACTTTACTACTATCTTATTGTCTGTATCTTTTGCAGCCCTAGTTCGTCCACTTTTACTACTCCCTTGCCCTCTAGCCTGCCGTTTTCCTCCTTTCCCACTAGTAGTTGACCCCCCCCCCCCCTTAACTTCTAGTATATTAGTAGTAAGCCTATCTGTTGGAGTACTTTGGTTCGGACCATCTACAGAAGACTCAGGAAAGTTATTAGAGTCCAAATCAAGGTCAATATGATAATCATTCACATTTTTCTGACCCTCCAACTGTCGTAGTCAAGCAATAAGATAATTTCGATCCAGGACTTGTCCAGATGATAGCTTTTTCCAACCTCGAGTTGATACTTGCTTACCATTACGTAGAGTACGTAAGGTGTTCATTCGAGGTACTATTTCTCGATATTGCATAATTTTCTCCAAAACGTAGTCCATACAGTTCTCAATCTCCTCTCTCCGGCGAGGCGTGAGGGCCAATTTCGACATATTTAAGCAATTTGGATAAGCTGCTTCCTCGCCGCGAGTGAATAATTGTTGGTGGCAATGGGATTCTTGACGGGACCATTGACTTCTATTTACCCGCCATCGTAAAGTCTTAGGATCGACACCATATTTTGCTGCAATTGGTGCTCTAGGCTCAAGGGGATGTTTGAATGCATATAAAATTACTGCATTGAGCCTGCTGGTATAATCAGCTGCCAGTACTTCAGCAGCTGAATTTGACTTCGACTTAGAGTATTGAGAGGGGTGAACTGGTTTGGAGGGTATATTCGGACCTGGGGGTATATCTGGGGGGCAGGGATTGTGAGCAGCGAGCCGGTTTGAGGGGCATATCTGGGCCTGGGGGTTGCGAGCGGCGAGCCGAGGGCATATCTAAAGTGGTAATTTGGTTTAGGAAGTAAATCTGAGGTTTGACAGCAGCAAACCAGTTGGAGAGTATTGCTATTAGGGGTATCAACATAGAGCTCGAGGGAGCTGCGGCTCATGTGAGACAGCGGCTGCCATAAATCATGAGACATGTATCCGAGCGCCCATTGTATCACCTGTCACTGTCAGTACTATTCGACACGGATAAAATCATAAAAAAATTATTAGAAGAGCAAAAAAATCAAGGAAAAATGGTGGGTTACATAAGTAAACATCAGGGAATTCAAATCCTTTCTCAGAATTCATATCCGTGCAATTTTGGTTGAGCTGTGAGGGTTTTTGCTAGAGGAGTCCGCTTGACTGCATGTCTCATACTCTTAGAGATATCAGCTGGGAATGAGTATATCATCTTCAACTGGTAAACTAGGATGGTCTAAAGGTGCAGATAGCCCTATATCAATCTTGTAAGCAGTTGTAGAGTATATAACAGTATGTTCAGCCTCGGCACCTTCTATTTATTATAACTAAGTATAAATTGGTACAGCTACAGTTGCTGCAATTGCTCACTTTTAGACTTGCGAATAGAGCTTGAAGTATCCTACCCCCCTATAGCATATGCCACCATATACTATGGCCATTAGTGAGTGACAGCAGCTATAAGAGCATAGATGTTAGTACTATTTAACTGGCAATATGTAGGAGCGTAAGAGGGAGGGGGGTTAAATTGACCTGTTGACATATTTATTGATATAGCAGGAGCTTGATATTGAATATAGGCAATAGAATATGTAGATAATGTTGTCCTGACATCATTGTATCTATATCACTTTATTTGATGTTACTGGCATCTAAGTTACCAAAGATATTGTGAAAATGGTTTCTCATGAGGCATGCCAAGATGCGCGCCGTTTCTAGGTAGGCGATCGTTTCCCGATATAAAATAGTAGCGTGAGAGTCTGGGCACGAGAACAGGGAGCGCGCAGGTTACCATGCGGCTCAATAATTCAAGCTCCTATCAATTTGCGACCTGAAATAGCATCTGCCCCTCAAGCGCCATCTGCTGTAGCAGTAACAGAAAAATCAGCACCACCGTCATTTGCAACCTTGCCATGGCCTCTTCAAGCGACAAAAGAAAGATACCGGAAGGCTTTTCGCCGACAACCCAGCTCGTGAAGCGTGTCAAGCCAGCGTCAGAACAAAATGCCATGACTCTGCGACAGGATGGGACGAAAGGGGGAGCTCTAGTGCAAGCTGTGAGTTAACAGAGGAGATCCGAGATGCCAAAGGGCAGGAATGAGGCTAACCAAATGGTGATTTGATGCGATAGGTTCCGCGAACATCAGGACTCCAAGCTCCCATCATGGAATTGACCGGTACGTCCTCGTTGGGCTTCATCTAGTCATCGAAATTTTCGCGGTTCACTAATATCTGAGTCCCAGGCCACTCGGTAAATACACTCCATCGCGCGTAAATATTAGGGCGCTGTGGGTATTGATTGTTGGACTTAGGGTGAAATTTTCGCAGTACGATTCGATCCAACAGGACAGAACATCGCTTCCGGTTCATTCGACCGATCAGTCTGTAAGGCTTCCAGCACTATGCCCATTCCTGGCTCCAAGTGCTAGCTCGGCTTCGTCTTTGTCTGCTTGAAGATAAAACTGACGTCCAGGATTAGTTCTGTGGCGTACATACGGCGACTGCGAAAACTATGCAGCGCTCAATGGGCACAAGGGGGCTATATTAGACCTCAGTTGGTCGAGAGATTCACGCGCTATATTCACAGCATCAGCAGACTCTCTTCTTGCTGCTTGGGACGTTGAGACCGCAACCAGGATAAGGCGATATGTCGGGCATGAAGATATTGTCAATACTATGGACATCACCCGAAGAGGGCCTGAGATGTTAGTCAGTGGGAGTGATGACGGCACAATCGGTGTATGTCCCAGCTTCTAATAAACTCTATATGGATCTAGGCAAGACTAACCCGACATATAGATTTGGGATCCTCGACAAAAGGCGTCTGTCGATTATCTAGAGACCAATTACCCAGTCACTGCAGTGGCAGTGAGTGATGCGGGTAATGAACTCTTCACTGGGGGCATTGATAACGATATTAAGGTGTGTACAGCACTGCACTCCGTACATAATACATAACGCTGATTTAGGGATAGGTGTGGGATATTCGGAAAAGGGCGGTAGTATATCACCTTCGGGGGCACCAAGACACACCTACTTCTCTCTCCGTGTCTCCCGATGGGCAATCCTTGCTTTCTAACTCAATGGACAATACCGTCCGGATATGGGACATCAGGGCATTTGCCCCTGCCAACCGTCTACAACACACATTTTCAGATGGTGTGCAGGCTGGGATTGAGAAAAACCTTATACGAGCGAGCTGGTCCCCATCAGGTGACAAAATAGCTGCTGGAAGTGGTGATAGGACGGTAGTAAGTTCTTTTAGCATCATCCTCCATTGCATATTATGGCACTTTAACACTGGTATATCAGGCAATATGGGATGTGGACTCTAAGAAAATGGTATATAAACTACCAGGACACAAAGGAAGTGTTAACGACGTTAGGTTCTCGCCAACGGAACCAATTAGTATGTTTCCCTGTTCTTCAATATCAATTACTGCGAAGACGTACTGATTCCTATGTGCAGTTGTCTCTGGCTCAACTGACCGCACAATACTATTGGGAGAGATCGCAAAGTAACTTAATCCAGAACTCGATATCTGGGTACCGAATTGACTGACTGCACATTTCCTTTCTTGAACGAAGTGGATAAACAACGGATGAACGTACTTGTACACTAGTTTTCTATGACGGGAAGGGAATAATATCATATAATATGCTTTCCTTATGGGTAAGACGACTGACATTAATATTTTCTGTGGTTGACCTGAGGGTAAATAACCACGTTTCTCTGCCACCCAGTTAGTAGAGTAGTAGGAGTCTGGGAGTACCTGACAGTATTATCCAGCGCGATAGATCGACCATAGAGAAGAAGTTTGGAAGCCTATAAATGGTTTAAGATATACTGTTCGTGCTGTAATTACTGCATCTGATACATGTGCGCTCATGGTGTTCTCCCAACTGTGAAATAATGAGGCTACACCGCACGGTGAAAAAAACCTTGTCTGGAGTCAACCTAGTCCCATGCCGGAGCAAACCAAGTGCGGGCTGCCAGCGCCGAGTCTAGAAGTCATGATCAGAATCCGCTTGCTCGCCGATGAGGTTTCCTTTAGCAGTGGCGTTCAAGCAGTTGTCAATCTGCTAAGGCTA